ACATTGGTTGCGGGTAGTTTTTATCTCGCGCTAACAGGTGGCGAGGGCCATTTTTGCAGTTGAATAGATTGAGTACCGTTATACCTGGAAGTACATACATAATTCACCATTGTATGTGTTAGAGACCCAAATTTTGTCCTTTGGAATTCGTATATCTGCATGTTATAATCCCTTTAGAGCAATAAAAAAGTATAAAAATAAATGCATTACCTGCATTCTACCGCTAGTCTATAAAAAACGTATTAATACGTGTCCCACACTCTACTACCAGTCAACGTAAAACGTATAAATATGTTTCCCGCATACAATGTGTTAAATGATCCCTGCTTTAGGAGGTGCTTCTTGATACTCCCCACTCCACAATACATATCCTACTTTTGTCAGCCAGGGTGCATAGATACCCTCACCGTGTGCTCCAAGATACCCTGTGCTCCCGCTTACATTTTGTGGTTCGATAGCCTGGCCCGTTGTCTAAGCTATGGTCCTATACCCTGTTATATCCCAAGTGCCCAGAATAAAGCCTGCCACAAAGTAGGAGTTAAAACATATTTTTAGAAAAAGGGAGGAAGTAAGAAAGGCCTGGACAACATGCAAACTGATGCATGATGCACTCAAGTGGTGAGTCATAGGTTACATAACAATGAGATCGACTTGGTTACATTAGTTCTTCAGGGCAATGACAACATGACAGGCTGTCTTCATAATGAGACTTAGTATTTTCTACTGTCACAGTAGGTGGCAGGTTCATTTGCCATCACAGATTTCTAGACACTGACATTACATAAAATCATAAAGGGCATCGACAGTAAACTGATTTCATAAAATCTTCATATAAAATGTTGGGGAGTCACTGTACATTTTATCACTAGGATTTAACTGAAGACTCAAATTAGGAGGGAGACTAATATGAACTCCACTTCGGAGGCCAGATTAAACATAATGAAGTAAGATTTCATCAGACCATCTGAGAAAAAACTTTATTTACTGAGAGAATAAAATAAAAGGGAGAGAGGCTTTCATCTTCCTCTAAAAAAAGAATTACCCAAACAAGAACTGAATAAAAACTTCTAAACTCAGTATTGTCAGAAATAAAAGTTGGTTTGGTCCAAAGACTCAAAACTTTAAAGAATAAAGCTGAAAACTCCTTATTTTATCATATAAACTTGTATGAGCACCAGAGCATGAAAGAATCCCATGTATCATTAACAAATAAAAGTCGGCCTGCTTTTAATGAGACTGCAGCTTTCATTGATAGATAATATATGGTATATCTTGATAAATGTTAAATCAGTATGATGGCTACCTAAAGGTTTGTTATATTAAACTCTATTATTTGAAAATTTTCTGAATAAGTACTAAAGGTCTGCTTATATTAAGAAATATTAGAAACAAGAAAAAAAAAACAAAAGAAAATAATAAAATAAAAATTAATAAAATAAAAAAATATTAGAAACTAAATCTCATACACATCCTATATAATAAAAGCATAATATGCAAATCAAGCGAATGGCAGAACGACCG